CATGGGTTCAGTCATTCTGAAGCACAGTCATCTCTGTATCCTCCTTTAAAATTGTCAGAACTGTGCTTTTACTCCAGCCAAACCCTGGAGTTTTGGATAAAGTCATTCACCTTGATTAAACCATCAGGACTAATTACTTCCTGTTCAATGTAGTTTAGCATTCGGCTGACATGTGATGCCAAGATCTCTCCATCCACTTCAGCAATATATGTGTACAGAAACTGGAAGGTGCTACATGGGATTTTTGGAGGTCCATCATCATGGTCAGATGATAAAACTTCACACACGATCTTAAGAGTTTTGGCAATAGTAACTCCAAGAGAACTGCAAGCAAGGGCTAAAAACTTTAGCCACTCAATCTCCTCTGTGAAGTGACCCACATTCATCACACTGTTAAACAGATCTGTCGGGAGGCTCAGCACCTTCCACATCTTCTGCATGGATGATCAGTCTGCAAGCAACCCAAGGATGAATGATCTTTAACAGCTCTGGTGTAAGCTCGGCCCAGTTAGACAGAGCCATTCACTCAGACCGCTCTCTCACGGGGCGAATCTCTCCATGGGACATGGCCCCAAAATAATCAGCGGCCCACTGGATGAGATCCTTTGGCTGGGTCCAGATGGTGGCTTTGGTGAACTGCTTTAGAAATTCTGGCAGCTCCGGTGGGATGCATGTTTGCTTATCCACCTGAGGCATTGATTAGTTGACCTCCTCAGTCTTGCGGGTCTGGAGTGTCCTTGGGGTTGCTGGAAAGCAGAACGTGTGTTCTCAAGCCCCAGGAATCTGCGAGAGTGCTGTCTCTTTAAATATCCAAAATAGTCAAGCCGCTTTTAAACCTTCAAAATGGCGGGGCCCTCCAGACCAGCAAAAGTGCACAGCTCAGCCCACCTTTCTCTTCACCTTCTCTGTTTATTCCCCAGCCACCTTGCACAGTCCTCTGTGCAGTCCCTGGCTAGCAGTGCTGACTTTTTGGTTAATTCTTAGATCCTACTACCACTTGGGAATCTCCAAGCTTTCTATGCCATCAGGATCGCTCAGGATCTCTCTCAGACCGCAGCTCCGTATGTCTCCTTTTTTAGTATTTTCATGCAAATTCTTATGCTAGTTGGGGTTTAGTCCACTTGTATATCCTTCCCTTCAAGGCTCAGGGGTCCAGGATTATATTCTGTGTCTGTGTTAATTGGTTTCCCTTTTCTTTGTTGAAGAGGGTCTGTGCAGTCTTTCTGCCTAGTCTGCCATCTTGCCGGAACCTTGGTATATATATATTTTTATTATTAAGAAGTAATTCATGATCATTAGAATAAGAAATTCAGAAGTGTATACAGTAAAACATGAGTTCAGCTGAAAAATAGGTTGGAAAGAAAGTGGAAATGTATGAGGAAAACTCTTCACAGTGCCTTTGGGCATCAGTGGGGACATGAAAGTCACCTTGTTCCAAACAACTTGAAAAACATCCATACTTGTTCTCAGAGTCAATGGGACTGCTCACAGCAAACATTTCTGTCCATATGTCAGACAGAGATGGCTTTGTGGTCACCAGGATCTTGTCCCAATCCTTCACACATGGTAGAAAGGGTGGAAAGGTTGGATGACACTGAATAAAAGGTGGTATCTCATGGAGAAGTCACATGTTCAGAACCAAAATATTCTTCATTCTAGGTACTCTTCTCCTTCTAGGATTTCCCTGCTGCTATATAAACTGGATGATCATCCAGACCCCATCAGAGCCCCGTGAAGCTGTAGACATGGGCCAGAAAGCCCAGAGATTTGTCACACCCAGGCCATGGGGGAAATGGATTTGAGCCCCTCAAACTATCTAAAACCAAGGAGAAAGTAACCAAAAGAGGCAGGACTACCATGTTGGAGATCGTTTTCTTTTCTGTAGTCTGTGTTGATAGACAGAGTGGGGCAGTGCTACCAGTGGTCTGCACTGGGTGTTGTTTGATATCCTCCCCAACTGATGGAAGAGGACACTTGTGAACTAGACATCATGGTCTTCACTTGCTCCCCAAACCTACTAGTTCAGTGAAAGAGCTCAAAGAGACAAAGGAAGGCTTTGGGAAAATAGTATCTTCCACTTATCACACACTGTTTCTAACTAGAAACATTTTTATCTTTACATCTTAAACCAAATTGCTGGTGAAGGGGCTAGTACTACCACAACAAAATCTCCAAAGGGGAGAAATCCAGAGCATATCATAGATATTGCTTATTGGCAAGTTTCAGCAATGGCATCTCAGCACAACCCTGCCTCCAGGCCCTCTCTTCCTGTCTATTCTAAGGGTAAAACAGTGAGTGGAAGAGAAGGGAGAAACAAAGAACAACAAGAGCTATAGGCCATCACAAAGAAGGTCCCTCTGTGTAGTGCTCCTCCCTGACTGAATTCCTGTAAGAGGAGAGCCAAAGATCCTCAGTTAGGGATCTGAAATTCTACCCTCTGGGTCCTGGTCTCTATACTCATAAAGTTGGGGGAATAGCTAAGTGCTCCTCCATTCTCATCAGATCTGCACATTCTAGGATCCCAGGGAGCTGGCAGTAGATGCCTGATCGGTCATGTGACCTGAGTGAGTTGCCTCCTGAGAGGACGTGACATATGATGACAATTACTCTTTATAAATGATACTGGAAAGAGATTCTGGGACTCCTTCCATTCCACAGCATTCATTCAGCATTGGCTCTGTGGCTTGAGCTCAATTTGCTAGAGAATAAACACTTTAGAACCATAACCACATGACTCAGGAGACATGGCCCAAATGAAGAGCAGAGTCTTCAGGAATTGACTGGGTATTTATCTACTCTGATAATCCCTACCTTTTAATTGGTGTATTTGTTGTTGTTGTTGTTAGGTGCCATCGAGTCAGACCCGACTCATAGCGACCCCTCCTTGGGTTGCCGAGGCAGTATCACTACGGAAGTAGAGTGCCCCATCTTCCTTCTGAGGAGTGGCTGGTGGATTTGAACTGCCAGGCTTCTGGTTAGCAGTCAAGTGCCTTAGGCACTATGCTACCAGAGCTCCTATTGGTATATTTAGACCGTTCATATTTCAAATGATTATTGACACAGTTAAATTGGGATCTATCATAATAGTAACTATTTTCAATTTATTGCCCTGGTTCTTTGTTCCTTTTTTGTCTTCCTCTCTCTCTCTTTTTTTTTTTTTTTTTGCCTTTTTTAGTTTCAATTGTGCAATTTATTGACTATTTAGAATAAAACCAAACCAAACCAAATCCACTGCCACTGACTCGACTCTGATTCACTGCAATCCCACAGGACAGAGTAGATCTGCCCCATAGAGTTTCTAAGACTGTAAATCATTACATAAGCAAATTGCTTCATCTTTCCCCTGCAGAGTGACTGGTGGGTTCAAACTTTCGGTTAACAGCCAAGTGCCTTAACCACTACGCTACTAGGACATCTTTCTATTTAGGATATTTGTCCCCAAATGTCCAAAACAAGGTATACTTTTGGTGTTGACTTGCTACATTATTAAGACAAAGTAACAAGATAACACTGTAGGAATGTATTTATGTATCTAAGGGTTTTGTCTTCAAACACTGTCCCAGAAGCTGCTATTGGGTCCCATTTGGTACCTTCCTCCTGCAGGGGTATGCCAGTGAGTAACCAGCAGAGGAAGCCCTTGGCACTGCTTCAGGAAATGAGGACTCAGAAGTAGAGATGTGTGAGTCTGACATTGGCCATGCATATGTAACAAGCAGGACCTTCATAAAGCTATTGAACCCTTTCTTGGGGTCTCCTTTATGAATGCTCACACTTTATTGGGAGACCATTTTTAGAGGCATTATGGATTGAGTTGCACGCCTCCCAAAAATGTGTTAGAATACTGACTCCTATACTTGTGGATATAATCCCATTTGGAAATAGAGTTTTTCTTTGTCATGTTAATAGGGCCATATCAGTATAAGGTGTGCCTTAAATGAAATCACTTTTGATATATAAAAGGAGCAGATCAGGCAGTAGCAAAGAAGTACAGATGGGTGAAGACAGACTCCAGGTCACATGAAAATCACCAAGGAACCAAAGGACAGCAGCTGATAAAAGACAAGGACCTTCCCCCAGAGCTGACAGAGAGAGAAAGCCTTCCTCTGGAGTCAGTGCCCTGACTTCAAACTTCTAGCCTCTTAAACTTTAAGAAAATAAATTTCTAATTGTTAAAGCCACCCACTTGGGGGTATTTCTGTTACAACAGCACTAGGAAAGTAAGACAAGGGGCAGTATTTTGCTCTCAGCTCAGGTTCAAAAAGTGTAAACCAAAGGAGGTCCTTTGAAATGGCCCTAGCCAAAGGCTTTGTGGATGCCCCATCTGTTTGGTGGCACTCTTCTGTGCCAGAATGTTCCTGGAGTGCAGGAACAAGCTTCCTGAATGCACATAGCTGCAGTACCTTTTTGCAAGAACATGTACTCATATCTATGGAGTCCATTTTGGAAATGCTGGCTATCTTAGGGATCTTTTTCTTTCTTGAAGCCAAAAATTAAATAGATACTGATCTGGGGAAAACACAAAATTGGCAGCCTGTATCCTTGAAGTCTGGTTAGTGCAATGGTAGTGTGTGAGCATAAACATGCCTCTGGTGCTACATGCCAAAGGTTTCTGTGCTGTTCACTCCTCCATGCCCTCTGCCAGATATCCCCCAGGCCTATACAACATGGTTCTGAGGAATATGGGAGTGGCAGCACATGGAAACTCTGTGCCCCTTCCAGTGACATACATGTGTTGAGATGTGCCAAGGTTCATGGCAATATCTGGCAGGGCTCCCATGAGCCCTAAGTTCCACTTTTTTTAGACTGGGTGTTTGGAGCTTGGGGAGTATGGGATATGGCCTTGGGCCTGGCACACTTACCCTCCACCTGAGCCACCATTCTTGCTGCAGTGTGTGCGTGGTTCACTGGATGCCAACTTCAGCAGCTCTGTCCACTCGCGCTCCCACTCCTCCTCTGTGTACACCAGCCCTGACTGTACACAAAGAACGGGCAGCTTCAGGAGGGTGTGGAGGGTCAGCACAGTGCTCTCATTTGCCACCTGCCTATCTGAGGAGTGTGTGGTGGTTGAGGTGAACCTGGGCGGCCCGCCTGACCTTCTATGTGAGACGGAGGCTGGCTCACCTATTAGTGGCCATGGATTCTTCAATTTTGCTACTGAAAATATTTTTCAGAAACCCTAATCTCTAATCTCAGAGTTCTTGGGAGTCTACCCAGCAGCAAGGTTCTTCCAAGAGGCAGGAATAACCACATATTGTCCTGCACATGCCCCTAGTGTGAGTTGCCTATTAAAGGGTTTCAAGGGATGATGGGTCAACTTCAAGCAGATAGTGAGCAGGTTCCTCCCTTAGAAAAACAAAGTTGAAGTATTTTTATGTTAGTGTCCACCAAGGTTAGAGCAAAATGTATCTGACATGAACTGCCATCCAGAAATGCAAGCATTTTTGTAGCATTTCCACCTTATCAATTCTCCTGACATAACTAAAATGTACATATATAGGAGGGACACTTGGAGTCCATCTAGAGAGCACCAGCAGTTTTCCATGCCATACAAGAAATAATGCTTTAACTTCAGGATAGAGTCTGGGTACCTTTCTGGCCTTACCTTCACACACACAATGGGCAAACCTAGAATGCACACCTTCTGCCTATCATCTGAGCAAGGTAATGGCCAACCTCCAAGGAGTGCTTAGGCTTTTGAGAGCAGCAGTGGCAGCACTTGAAGGGGCTGTGAGATCTTTCTAGACTTGTGGAGTCCTTGCAAGAATGCTCCACTGGGGAGGATGATTATGACTCTGTGGACTGAGCATGCATAGGGCTCCAAGCAGGGGCTGGGATGGTGGGCACTGCCCAGCCACTGCGGCTGCCTCTGGCCTTCAAGGTGCCACCATATCAGTGACCTGGAAGTCATACGATCATATAATTTGTCACCCAAACTGGAATACTTTTGAGAGTAAGGTAGGTAGTAGGATGTTAATAACTAGACCACAATAGAAGTGTAGGTGGACACAAGGTCACATTGCCATAGGCTGTTGCAGTGTGTCTCCATTCCAGGGAAGTAAGTAGGGGATGCTTCGAAATCCTTGGAAACTGCTCCTGCCTGACCAATAAAGATCTCTTGATGTGGGGGGCATGCCCTAGATTCTACTGCTCAGAGTTGCACCTGGTGTGGGTCCCATCTTTGGATAAATTTGTAAGTACCCACCTCCTTGTTCTGCTGAGTCTGCTGCCACCGCCACCTCCGCTTCAGAGCTTCCCTCTCTGCCCCTGTCCTCATCATGGTGTAGAGAGCCTTCCGCAAGACCAGGTCCCGGTCATGAAACCCCCACATCCCTGTGGCATGAAGCCCATAGGAACAAAGGAGACAGAGAAGACATGAAGGGGGGACAAGTGAAGGGAAGACTCAAACACCCATGCCCACATGCACCAAGACAAAATGCTCTCTAAATGCTCAGTTCTCATCATGTGCTAACTGTTCCCCTCTATTCTGTTCCGATGCCTCTCTTCAACACAAGCAGGCTAATGAGAACCACTTCCCCTGCTTAATGATACAACAGAGAGTGCAAAGTGAGGTGAGCCTTTGGCAACACACTTTCAGTCTCTTGGTTTTGCTTTGAGGGACCTAATAGGTCCTAGTCCTGAGTCTGAGTGAGAGAGAGCACAAGCCAGTGATATGTCTTCACACAGGGCCCATGCCTAGAGGCATGAATAGGTAGTCAACAGCTGTATCTGAACTTTATATAGAAGGCTATAGTCCTAAAACAGCTTGATTTTCTGGGAATCAGGGATTCAATCAACATCACACACAGGTCTGTGTCCAGGAGAAAGGCCTGGTTTCAGGGAGCAGACCTTCCTCTCTCCATCCTCCAGCCTGAGCTGGAGGCTGAAGGACATGAAGATGAATAAGTCATTCATGAGTGCATATTCTTGGCAGATCAGGTAGAGCTAAGAAACTGAACAATGGGAGAAGTATTGAGGAGAGGTGCAGCCCAGGCAACAGGGGGAAGAGTTGGGTGAGGGATTTACACATTAATTTACTTATTTGTTCAATTTAATTCCATTATACATCACTTAAAGAACGCTGGTGGTGCAAGGATTAAGTGCTCGACTGCTAACAGAAAGATCAGCAGTTTGAACCCACCCAATGGCTCCACGTCAGAGGCTGGCCACTCCATGAAGGGTGATGGAGAAGGTGAGAGGACAGAGAGTGAAGGTGAATTTTTTATGAGGTGAGATGGGAACATGGGAGCTGAGACTAGATGAGTGGAAGAGTAAGCCATCCCCATCTAGGGGAGCACACCAGGCAGAGGGAACCCAGTGGAGAGAACCTGAGGCATGCCCATGAGATGAACTAGAGAAAGGGCAGGAGGGAAAGGGGTCTCAAGTGGGGCCAAAGGCAAGGCCAAGAGCTAGAGGGTCTTGGGCTATCATAAGGGCTGGGATTTACTGTCAGTGAGCCAGGAGCCCTTACAGAGTTTTCAGAAGAGTAGCAGCAAAAACGAATCTATACTCTGAAAGGACCAACCTGCATGTGCATCTTTTTATTGCAAGAATGTCATAATCAAGTACTGCTGCAAGCTTCCCTCCTAGCAAGCAAAGATTTTGACTTTATAGAGCATGTTGTTGTTATTGTTAGTTGCTGTCAAGTTTGCACCAACTCAAGGTTACCCCATGCACAACAAAACAAAATGTTGCCCAGTCCTGTGCCAATGTAGACTGAGGAAAATGGCTACTTCTTTTCATGGAGTGTCTGGCTAATCTGACTCATCCTCAGCCATGCTGGCCTATGACTACCCTGGCAGAGTGAGCCCTTGCCCAATATAAGCTCACATGGCTCTATGTTCAGGCCTCACATAGAGAGTTTCCTTGTCTCACAAGCCTGACTACATATCACTGTCACTCCTATAGGTGCCCCAGAGTCCCAGCTCCACACTAGGCATGGCAAGCAGGTGGGTTTATCTCAGGGCCAGTTGCTTTAGGCTTGCCTGGCTCTGTGCATTCAACTATTCAATTACAAAAGGAATTCAAATTACCAGGACACAAGAAAGGCTTCAGAATAACCTAGCTTCTCCTGCTGCAGGAGCCAAGCCTGCCTGCAGGGCTCTGTTTTCCCCAGGCAAGCTGGGAGCCCATGGGGAAAAGTGCCTGCCACAGGAAGGCACCTGGGGGCAGGGGCTTGATCACATCTGGGGCTGACAGGAGAATAATGCTCTTGCTGCAGTTTTGGAGGACAAAGGCATGAGACTCTATAATCGGGCTGCTGTCTGACAGATGAGAGATTTCTTCTTTCCTATTGTTTTTCCAGTTTTTATGTGGAACAAGGAAAAATATGCTCAATAATGGGGGAATAGTCAAGACAAAATAGTATACCACCACTAAACACACGTTTCTGAAGAATAATAGCATGGAAAATTCTCAGTGCAATTTTAAGGGAACAACTCTGGGTTCACACTGTGTGAGTGTAAATCAACACATTCTCAGATGAAGAACAATTAAAAGAATCTGTCTCCAGCAGACCTCACATAAGATCATAACTTCATCTGAAGTGCAGACAGAAGACTGGGGGACGATATACCAATAAAATAGAAGGGATAACTGCTGTGTAGAGTGATTCCTGATCTTTATTTTCTCCCTATGATGAATGTGGGATATTTTATAATTCTAAGAGATAGAAATTTGTTAGTTTTAAAATGAAAATGAAACAAGTAAGTGGGTGCCACTGTCTTCACCTCACTGCTTGTCATTTCTGGAATGTAACACTTGTTCTCAGTCCCTTTTCTCCTCTGGGTCTCCTAAGGCCCTGGCTTCTTCCCCTCCAAACTCTTTGTGGTCTCATCACAACCTGCCTCTTATTGAACAGGCCATACTGTAGATCTAAAGAGAGGTCTGGTGCTGGCCCTTGCTCTGGGCTGCTGCACTGAGTGCAGGCCACATTAGCCTAGGCAGGTGTGTTTGGTCAACAAGGATTGTTTCCTGTCTGAATATCCTGGTCCCTAGAAATAGGCTCTATTTTGTACTCCTCAGTGCTAGCGAGGGACAATTGGCCCTGATATTGAGGTCTTTGGCACAAATTCAGACTCACTTGCCAAAAATGACTTGGCCTATGCATAAGGCTGTGCCTAGAAGGGATAACTGAACTTCTAGAAAAGTCTAATAACTTTGACTCTCAGTTATTAAAATATTGCCAACCACAACTGCACCTGTTGGTGAGGATTTTTGCAACCAGGAAGCTCTCAACACCATTGGAGAAGGTTGTTGATCTCCCTGCTTTATATGTGTGGATTCCACTGTGATTTACCCAAATGGTATTTATGTCTGTCTTTCTTTCAGTCTAGGTCTATTACTGACTGCTGTCAATGTGATGGCCCCGCACCCATCCAACCTCACATACTGTTACTTGAGCTTTCTGTTTGAGCTTATCTGAGCTTAGTGTCTGAACATTATGTTGATTCCTGCTTTTATGTGTTACTCCAATGTTTTCCTTTTCTGGAATGGCCTCTTCCACACTCCTGATTTTTTTTTTCAAATTATTCAAATGTCAGTAAACCCCCTCTATGAAGCCCTCTTTGTTTGCTCTAGACTATAGTCTCTAATTCCCACCCTTAGATCTCATGCTCAGGCCTCCTTCTAGCCTGATGGGTCTTTCTCACGTATCTTCCCTAAGCCTGCAAGTTACTTGGTCAAAAGGACTCTTTTAGAAGACTCTTTTAAAAGAAGACAGTGACACATGTGGTTCTACTTAGCTTAAGTCTGTCCTTTAACAACAGGTTGAGCAGACTTTGGACCTGCCACCTTCTGTCTATGCTTACCCAGTGAGGCAGCATGTAAAAGGCAGTTCCCATCCCCCGTCGTGGCCAAAGGAAGAAGCCGTTTACAGCTTGTGCACACTGTGGACCACCAGTTCAGGCGACCTGAAATAGAAGCTCACTTTAGAACAGAATCCCAAAAGGCAGGGAGCATTCGTAAATGTGTTTGCTAAGTAGAAACATCAATAATATAGGTCTTAAATGCACAAGAAAGAAGAGCACAGGAAAGAAATAACTACAGAGAGGAAGTTGGAAGAGAGTTGCGGGGATTGCAGTCAAAGTTATGAAACAAAGTATTATGAACTGCTTGCTGTATAGAAAATGAATTTGCTCTGTAAACTTTCGCCCAAATCATAATAAAAAATTTAAAAATTACCAAAGAAACAATTTTTTATATATATCATCTATATTTTCTAGATTAATTCTAGAGAACTTCAGTGGGGAGGCAGAGTTATGGCTATTTTTTCTCAAGTAAAACTTTTCCTCTGTAAGACAACCCACCCACTGCCATTGAATTAATTCTGACTCTCTCCCAAAAGGACAGAATAGAACTGCCCCATAGGGTTTCCAAGGCTGTAAATTTTTATGGAAGCAGACTGCCTCATCTTTCTCCCATGGAGCTGCTAGTGGGTTTGAATTGCTGACCTTTGGCTAGGAGCCAAATGCTTTAACCACTGTACCAGACAGATAACAAGGAAACTATATACACAAGATATCAATGGAGGGAGGGTGAAAAACTTGTATTTCCATTCCCATCTTGGGAACAACAGACTCCTGGACCATCCAGAGTGGTATTATACTGTTCTAGTTGTTACGTACCGTCAAGTCAGACCTACTGTTGTTGTTGTTGTTAAGTGCCGTCGAGTCGTTTCCGACTCATAGCGACCCCATGCACAGCAGAACGAAACACTGCCCGATCCCGCGCCAGCCCC